TTGGTGGGTTTGGCTGAAGCAGGTGGCATTGTATGATTGTGTCCATGCAGTCCGCATTGGAGCAAAATACGTGCTGGGCGCTGCCACAATGCGGCGTCTGCGCGGAGATTGGATCGTCCCGGGAACGCATCTTGCGTGTTTGGATAAATGGATGCACGGTGGCTAGGAAGGGCCAATATCTGACTTGTCGATCCTTGCAAGTTTGGTTGTTTTCATCACTGACAGACTGCACCAGATTTGCAGATGTCACCATCCTGGATTCCTGCCTGCAACCCGCCAATGCATCCACAGCGTGATGATTCCGCATTGGACACGTCCAGCCCAGGAACGTTGATGACTGTGGGACGGCTGCACCGGCACTGCAAATAGACCACTGCACTTCAGACTCACTTTCACAGCTTTCTTGCATGTGTCAGTCATTCTGATGCAAGGCTTGTTCCTAACTTCTTCCCAGGCACAGTTTGTCAACAAACAGCACGCGAAACTTGGGAGTGTGGCACACGAGTTGTTTGGACAGCATAGGATTGGTGGATAGGATGCCAACACAAGTGGATGAGTGCATCAGAAGCTCTGAGCGTGCACAATTCCCCTAATCTCTTGCAACTCGTTGTTCAGCACGCACATGTCAAAACCTGCACATGCTGCACGGCATTTGCCCACCCCATGTACTTGGGCAGCTCTTTGTAACACTGGTCAACAACCAGGTTATCAAGCGCAGTGGCAGCTACCCACAACTCGTCAGCATCTTGGTCTGGGATCCTTATTGTGGTGTGAAGAATGGATTAAATATCCACATAGCAAATCTTGATGACCACGAGGGCTACTTGTATTGCGACAACGAGAATTGAACTGCCCTATCCAGCCCCTTGACAACCACCAGCAATCGCACAACAATGTCCCCCACCCTCAAGCAATCAAATTGATTACAATATCCACACGTACCCGAAAATCCCTGTCTTCAAGCGGACTGCTATGGACAAAAAATGAAAGAATAGGCGAATGCGAAGGAATTCTCGGATAAATGCAATGCCCCCCCTATCAAACTGGGCGCTGCCCCTCCATATGCTACCAACTATCCCTCACCGTTACCCCACCTCTATATGCACTTGACTCCCAACGCCCCTCTCTCTCCCTCTCTACACGACTTGAAAATTATTCACACAGTCTTGCGCAACCCACTCCCACGCGGCCCCTCACCCCACCGCGCACTGCGACCCGCCCCTGTACGCCTCGCTGGCGTCCTCCCCCATTCCCCAGTGCACTAGGAGCATGCCCACCGCCACGCTCACGTGCATGATCTGGTGCGAGTTCCCCCACAAGTCCAGCGCGCCCGGCGCGCGTGGCCCCACGGGCTGCAGCCACCTCTCTGGCCACCTTGCCACATTGACGATCCCGCCAAACAGCGCCAGGGCCTCCATGGCCCAGTAGTAGCGCATTGCCAACTGGCTCCCGCTAGCCAGGGCGCCGCGGAGCACCAGCAAGGCAAGGCGGACGACGGTCATCATCAGCATCGGCAGGCCGCGGTGGATTGCGCTCTTGGCGGTGCAAGAGGCGTAGAGGCTCAGCATCCCGAGGGAGTAGTAGACCGCGTTGCCCCACAGGCGGATGGCGGGATGGCAGGGAAAGCCCCACTCGATGGCCGCCCACTGGGAGCCCAGCAGCACCATGTAGATGCCGCAAACGTCCAGGGTGAGCCAGGTGTGGTAGTCGCGCTGACAACCCATGAAGCAGTGGTAGCACACGGAGAGCATGAAGCAGCCGATTACTGACACGGTGCTGATGAAGTAGGCCAGGCGCGCCTGAGGCCACGGTGACTCCAGCCCGCCGAAAGCCAGCGCCGCCATGGCCGCGGCGGGCAGGAGGTGCGTCCAAATGTTGCCGGTCTCGTTGTGCAGGGCGCACACGCTGGCGATGCACTCCTGGTACGAGTAGTGCGTCCTGTACCCGCTCCGTATGAACCGGTTGAACTGCAGGACCTTCGGTGCGTCCTCCCAGAACACCACCCTACCCACCGGCTTCTCCTCATCCCTCCCCCTGCCGGCCGGCCGGCCGCCATCCTCCCCCCGCCTCCAGGATCTCCTGTGCAGCAGCAGGGTCTCCGCGCAGCTCTCCGGGACCGGCCTGCCATCACGAACCTCCGTTTCGCACAGGCATCCCGCCGCGATGGTCTCCTGCATTGCCGAGGGCATCCTTTCAACCGCGGGCCGCGCACCAGCGCCTCGCCAGCCCTCAACGCTCGGGGAAAATACAACAACGGGGGGAGAACGGCGGACTTTTATGAACAACGTGCCGCCCACGCCACACCACGCTTATGTCATGCTTTGGGACCGCAGGAGTGATGAGCGCCGCGCCGCTAACTCGCAGAGAACCTAGTACTGCCCGCGGCCAGCCGCGCACGACCCCTTCGCCGCTTTTAGGGAACCGGGTACTGTCTCCGGTCAGCGGCGCTCCTCGTCGCCGCTTTACAAATTGTCGCTCGCTTTTTGCCGTGTTGCGTGCATCCCACTGCCACGCGTCCGCCCGTCGCCCAGGCCGTCCCCTCGCCGCGCAACGTCGCGGCGGCTCATGCCACTCCGGAGCGCGCTGCGCGTCGCCGGCAACACGCTCCTCAGGACCTCAGGTGGCCCAAGCGACGGGAAGCGCACGGGGCTCGCGCGCGTGCCGGTCCTTACCATCCGTTGCTCGAAAATGAAGCTGCGAAGGACTTTGGTCTGCTCCCTGAATTCGCGTTGCGTCGAGAGTCCAAGGACGCCCGCGGGCTTGCTACCCTTTCTGGGGCATCCTGTGGCCGGGGGCAAGGCTGTTGGGCCCGCGCTGCCGGCATCTGGCGGACTTGGACGCGTTTAACGTGATTTTGGACTCGTTTTCGGGCTCCGTTGGCACTTTGCCGGTGTCCAGCTGACGTGGGTAATGCCATGGCCAGTGGAAGCCACCGCTGGTGCACTGCGTGTGTGCCACGCTCTCAAAACAGCGCCCCTCTCACATTGAGCGTTGCGACTTTCCCGTTGGCAGCGCAGCGCGGACGTGACGCCTGGTATTGGTTGCCCTCGGAGAGCAGCGCCCTGAACTATCCGCTCAGCTCCCTTGGTGCACAAACGCACAAGGCCGCAGTAAGACCCTGACTGGCGGAGTGCATAGAGATTGCTGCCCGTGTGCGTCCACCACAACCAGCCAAGTTGCAAGCTCTTGGCACCCGGCAACGAAGATCGAACTTGGTCTTGCCTGCAAGGAGGACAACAAAACAAATTGTTGCACCCTTGCACATTGAACATTCTGAAGATCAATAACTTCGCATCGGTATTGAACAGATTGTCAAGTGCAAATGATGGACGTGAAATGCAGTCTTTCATCGAGGCACACCTCCATTCTACTGTCCTGGAGGGACTTGCTATATCAATGGTATGATTTTTGCTTTCACTTGTCGCCACAGCTGCTCCCAGTCCCTGCCCTTCAGGATGCGAGAGGCTGGTGGCACAGTCTACCTCTGCGTCAAACGACCTCCCTACACTACAAGTTGGGCTCAACTTGTTAAAGAATGCACTTTGGGGCAATCCAGCTGCTGCCACTGGAGAAGCGAAAGTCACGAACACGAAAAGAAGGGGCCAAGACGGCCTTGAGGCAGCACCAGAAAGTGCAAGCACTGGGGGCGATGATACCACCAATGCAAGGTGCAGTGGCCGGCCAGCCTGATTCAGCACGTCTTGGATGGTTTCCTGTTGTTTGGAAAGGACAATGTTCAGCATATATGCACAGGTACTTCTTGCTTTGGAATACGCTACTTGATTTTGGGTATGAAAATGGGCTGCTCTACGGGCTGAAAGTGGTGTTCACAATGGAGTACACTGGGACATGCACATTCTCGTCAGCCCGGCAGTTGTGCTCTGCCTGTGATAGAAAGGATGTGCACTGTGTAGTGCACACATGGGAAATAGGACTGTGCCAAACTACACACTGCGCAGGAGCTCCCAGATGTGACATTGGTGTAGCCTCTGGGGCAAAATGCTGAGGCTTGCTGTGATGGTTGCAGGGTAGGATCAATTTTGCGACAGCTAGTAGCCACCAGCTGCGTTGGATTAGTGCAGCAGCTGGTTGCTCTGGGAGGTGCCTTTTCCAGTATTGAAGAAATTGAAGGCATACGGAGGTATGGACTGGGAATGGTACTGTGTGCTTCTGCTGCTCTTCTGCTCCTCTTGTGTTGAGAAGGGGTTGCCAAACTTGGGAAAGCTCTCTGGCCTCTAAAGTGAAAGTGGGGATTTGAGTCACTCAGCTTGCAAATGGGTAATGCAATTGCTGCCACAATGTGTACGATCCTTGCTGCAAGATGTGGTGCATTACAGCATTGTTCTGTTCTTTTGCGTGCTACTGCCCTTCGCTTATGGTCTTTTGTTGGATCAGCTTGTTCGGTTTGTTAGTGATTGTTAGTTGCTTCAGATGGGATGAGTTGATTCAAGTGAGGTACTTGGTAGTCAGTGCTGCTGTGGCTGTCCTTCAGACGGACACATCCTGGACTGGATTTTTCGGCAGTGCACCATCGCCTGAGGAGCTTGAGGTGCGAGCAGCTTCAGCAGTGCTCACCGGCAGCAGCTGTCAGCACTGCCAAGGCACTGGTGCTCTTGCGGTGGAAGCCACACGCAGGGCTTGTTGCTGCGCTGTGCACAGCCATTGAGCAAGACATATCTGCCGCTGGCACAGCAGGTTTATCAGATTTCGTGCAGGGACTTGAGAGGCTTGGCTGTGTGCCAGAGAATGAGTTCCTTGACGAGGTTGGCAGAGCAGTGAGTGCGTCACTATGGGCGAGTAAGGTTGGTGAAGTCGGTGGAGTGAGGGCGGAAAGTGTGGCACGGCTAGTGGTGGCTTTCAGCAGGTTTGGGCACAGGCATGAGGTGCTGCTGGATGCCTGTGCCCAATACCTTAAATCCAGAGTTGAGCAGCTGAGCAATGGTGCTCTTACGACATTGACAAGGGTGTATGCTTTGGGTTGGCGCACGACGGGCACAACTATGCCTAGGCTTCGTTCACAGCTGCTAGACAATGTGGTGCAGGAAGCAGTGCTGAGACAACCGAGCCAGTTCAGTGCCTCAGAACTGTCAACGTTTGTCCATTCATTGGCATCTCTGCACCATGAGGACATATTGTCCAGCACTGCGATGGACCTGTGCACATTGAGCGCCATAAGACGCTCAGAGCAGTTCCGAGCTCATGAGATGGTAGATGTTGTGTGGTCGTACACTCAGATCTTTGGGCACCACCACGATCCCCAGGTTTTAGACACTATGGCAAAGCTCTTGGTGCCACGTTTAGGCGAAATCACACACGTACCCAGGCTGGTCATCCTAGTGAAGGCATTCGCAGATCTGGACCTTCACTACACAGATTTGCACAACGAGGTGTCTGCCTTGCTTTGCCCACACCTGGAGTGCCTAGACCAAGGACTGGTTGTGGAGCTTTTGCAGGCCTTTGGCCATGTGCACCATTATTCTTCCACCCTGTTCGAGCGAGCAGCCACCGTCCTTTCAGATTCCAAGAGCAGGCTGTCAACTTCGCAACTCGCTTCAGTGCTCCAGCTGTATGGATGCATGATGCATGATCCTGGTCAGGCAGCATTGGATGTGTGGCTGACGCAGCTACAGGACCTTGGAAGAGCAGCACTGACAAGCTCTCAGGTTTGTGAAGTGAAAATATAGGTTAATATGGGCCGTGGCATTAAGGGATAGCCATGAGCCAGTAAGAATCGACTCTGTGGCAAAATAGTCTGCAGTTCATCTGGTCCCCCGCCCCCATCCACCCACCACCACCACCATCACCACAACAAGATTACATAAAGGACAGAGAAGTTGTGGAGCTGCAAAGAAGAAACAAGGGATCAGCAATTCTTGGTTGGATTTGCAATGAGTCAAGTCCTATGCACTGTGCAGATTACAGTCATGCATCGCACTCCATACTCCACATGGATGCCACCACAGCACATGGCTTTTGTTGGGAATCCAGTTTGAGAGCGGCTGCGTAAATTCTGGCTGGATATGTCAACTTGTGCAATCAGCTTCTTTGTGATAGGATTCACAAGCCAGCAAGGTCAGTCCCATGCTACGAGTACAGCATGATTTTCTAACCATTCACCACTGTTGCTGCAGGGGCATCATAAGGATGCATTGCACTGAGTGCTTCCCAGCAGGTGTTGATGACAAGTGTGGTGCCTGAATTGAGCGGAGCAGCATGCTGGGTGCTCACGCATTGAGTCTGCAGAATCCGGTTTCCCATCGTCAGCCATCGTTGCTTTGTTGCACAGGTGTGCTCTGTCCTTTGGAGCCTTGCTTTGCTTGAGGCGTTGTCCCCAGAACTGTTCCTGCAATTGTCCCGTGACATCCAAGACTGCAGGAAAGGGGACTTCACTGTGAGCGACATCGAACGGCTGTTGATGGCTGAATGGCTGCTGGAGATAACCTGCAGGCGCCAAGGCCAGACACCTCCACGCATACCCAGGCCCCTCAGATTGCAGATCTTGTCTGTTTGGCGAGAGCGACTCTACTACAAGCACGATGTTTCCTCATTCCAGAAGGTGGGAAGAAGTGCAGAACGACAAGGGTTGTCCCACACGTTGAATGGAAGTCCAAGCCGCGCTGTGACTTGCCGTCCTGTCAATAGAGTTCCATGCAAAGTAACGCTGTCGCCCAAAGCTCGTCAAGTAAGAATTCACTGTGATCTTGAGTCGATGGTGGTTTTGCAGAACCAGAAAAAATGGTGCATTATGCATCGCTGACCAGCCTGGTTGCTGCCGAATGGGCTGTATTAGGTATTATGGTTAGTGGCAACAGTGCGAATCGCAGTTCTATGCGCAGTGCCTTGCAATCTCGAGATTCAGCGCTGCCTGCTCTTGAAAGAATGACGAATGGTGCTTTTGTTGCAATCCAAGGTCTAGTGATTTATGTCATTTTTAGCAGATGAAAAGCACACATATACGACAACAGCTTAACGGCTGGATGATTTGAAACTCGCTGTTCATGCCTGTCTGCACTCCAAAGTCACTGCCACAGTCGGTTTATGGTGCTATCCATCCCGTCCTGTGGCCCTGTCGAAAGGCACCGCTTGTAGTTCAGCTCACTTTGAATGCACAGCAGTTACAGGTGGGGCGCTGCAGTCATTCGTCCAGTTGATCAGAAAATTGCACTGCCACTGTTTGCGAGGCGCTGTGTTTCTGGCTGTCGTGCAAATGATGGGATTGATTGTTTGGAGTTTATGACAACAAGAAAGAGTGGTTTTGTCTCAGTCCCATGCCAACTGTTCTTCAGATTTTGAATCTTTCGCCACAAACCGGAGCACGTTTGTTCCCCTGAACCAAAGCAGCTCGAGCGAGTGCGTTTGTGTACACGGGTGTGATCCGTTTCATCTCTTTGACTTGTGCCTTGTTTTCGATGTGCTGTGAGCTGATGCGTCCTTGCGCTCCAATGTCCTGCAAGTAGCCGTATCGGGTCCATGTTGCTGCTGTGGAATTGTAATCAGAACAATGTATCCACCAGTCTACAGATCAGGAGAACGAGGCTTGCAATTTTGCGCTAGCGGCCTCAATTTCTTAGCAGATTGGGCATCTTTGCCTCCCTTTGGCGCCCAACGCGCTCAAGAAAAGATGGAATGCAAAGCATGTGGAAATTCCTGCGGATTGGCACCAGGGTCTGTGACGCCTATGGCACAGGCCATGGCGCCTGTTTGTCCCAACGGCACTGCTGCATGATCACGCTGAGGAGACGTGATTCGAAGCAAGCGGCATGTCCATGCCAGCCCCAATTAGGACGCTTGAGGGTGGTTTTTATCCCGATTTAGGGGAAGACGCTGTGTCGATTTTGGTACGCTTAGCGTCAATTTGAGGTTAGCTCAGACCACCACCACCACCCCGGCCCCCTCCCCCTTAGCATCAATCCTTATGTCGAAGCCAGGACTATGCAGCAACATTACCTAATAGTGGTATTCAATTTCTAGGTGTTTTTAAGGAATAGAACAATCAAAGCTGTGCTGATGTTGGCGGGTTTAAAAATTGGATTCTAAGTGCCATTATAGGTGAGGCGGGCAGCCTCAATGGCTACAAAATTTGTAGTACAAATTGATCTATTCTATACTTCTTTGTAGATCGAACACTTGCAGGAGCCTTAAAACACGTCGTGGGTTCTTTGCCACTTACCGGTGGCGCTTATGGGCACCTTCCCTCCTTATGTCGATTTTGTGGAAATCACATAATCTCTTAGCGTCACAAGTCCGTCCCCCCTCCCCCTTCCCCCTGGCGTCAATTTGACGTTAAGCGTGCCAAAATCGACACAGCATCTTCCCTAAGTTTCTGGGTCTTTTCGTTATTTTCGGCTTTGCCGGCAATGCGCTCCCTCTTAGCGCTATGATCATTAACCCACCAAGCCACCCGTGCCAATTTGGGCGTGAAAGGTGACAAAACCTCTGCTGCATCACACCCGACCTGGATCTCATGAGTGGTGGCATGGACTTCTCCTTAGAAACAACTATCTCTGGCACACTTGTGTCATTTGACATAGCTGGGTACAGCCCTCGGCGATTGGCCAGTAGTTGAAGCATCGAAGAACATTAACCAAGATAAGGGAAGTCCATCATGCCTTTGGAACCAATGTGCGTTTGTGCATCTCAGGATGTGGGGCTCACACTAACGGACATGCGCATCAGTCACACGCTTGAGGAATCCGTGGAGAATGGCGATTTTAAGATCGACTATGTCATTGTGGGCGATGGGAATGCAAGGGTCGCATTGGAGTGCGACGGCCCACGTCGCTTTACAAGCAATGCTCCCTACCATGCCTTGGGCGAAACTGTAGCAAGTAGGCGGGTGTTGGAAGGGCGCGGATGGCGGGTGGTCTCCATTTCGAAACACGCCTGGAATTCTTTGAAATCAAGGGAGGAGAAACAGTCCTTTCTGGAACAGGAACTTTGGGGTATTGGGTGTTGATTGCAGTCGAATTGATGCATCGGAGGCAAGAAGGCACCCTTGTGTCGTCGCACATACACACGCAGTGGCAGATGGGTATCCAGACAAGGCCTGGCAGTGATCGCCAGCTGGTGAGTATTGGATGCAGCTGTGCATGAATGTCCGAGATCTGAAGGATTGTTGACAACTGGCCCCGGTGAGGCTGTTCACTTTGGGGTTGAGGTTGGGTGGTTTGCAAAGTTCAAGAATGATGCTGGGGCGATTGGCGGCGTGCGCCCTCCTCATGACAATAATCGCGAACGATGTGAGTAGAAATTGGTTGGGCATTTCATTTTGTAGAGTTGCTTCTGAATGAGCACGAACAGGAGTATGCAACTTGGCGCTGACAGCGACGTAGCGATGAAGCCTTGGGGTTTGTTCCAGCTTTGTAATTTCAATATTTTGGCCCTTTCTGTCGTGCGTTCCAGACGTCCCCAGAATTTGGACATCCGTCCAGTTGCGATTGCGTCCGTGCTCGGTGCCTATCTTCCTGGCTCAAGCCGCGTTGCCAGCTCTTCCAGCACGCACAGGCCACTGCCAACTGTGCTCACTACTTGCTCTAACGCCGCACAGGGCAACAGAAGTGTTGTCGCTGCCTTCTGATGACTTGCTGCACACGGCTGGATGCAGCTCAATGGTTTTGCACGCAGCCGTGCAGCTGCATCTTTGTCAGTGGGTGCTATTGTCCCGGCGGTGCTATTCGGGCATCTGAATATTGCTCCCCAATAGCACCGGTGCTATTCGACAAATACAGCCTTAGTAAGGTGGCATGGGAGCCAATGAGAACTCTTCTTGTATTGCACTGCCGGTGCAATAGCACCGACCGATGAAGATCTGGGTTACTTTTTGTGTCCGAATTGCCACTTTTTTTCCGAATTAGGTTTCATATGACAGGCTCGAAATGCTAGAAGGGACCCTAATTTGAACAGTTTGTCTTGCACAAGCGCCGAAACATGAGCTAATTCGGAAAATTTCAGGCAAGAAAGCTGCAAGCTGGCCCCGATTCCGACACGCGACAATCGACGATTTCGCCTTGGAACTTATGTTCCCCACAGTTCTGAGTGGTACAATTGCCTGGTGGGGGGTAATTACCACAATTTTGTAAAGCTCAGTCATCGTTTTGATGATGGCAATGGGCCAGTTCGCTGCAGTACGCCATGCAATTGTCAACTTGCCACCTTTGCTGCGCCTTGCTGCATTGTTGTACCATGCACTTTGTGGTAATCTCCTGTTCAAGCAAACCAACGAAGGGGTTTGTCAATCGAGTTATGTGTGTTTTGATGTTTTCCAACAGATTAGATGGAGTCGAGCATTGCCACCACTCGTGCCCAACAAGGTTTCTATTCCCTGCAATCGGCAAATTTGCCATGCAAAGCTGGTTGCTTTGTGCCCCGCCCATCAACTGCCGCCCACACTATTGCAAACGCTCCCAATGTAGTGATGATCCCCACCCCCCCACCCGCACCTCGTCGAGGCCACTGAATCCACACCGTCCAGAATATGGACATGACGCTGGCAGTCAAATGGCCGTTGCCATTCACTATGGCAGCCACGTCTGGCAAGCCTTGGCCTAGAGCAACTCAATTTAGAGAAAGTGTCAGGAAGAATATTGCAAAAGCAACCTCAATTCGGACAATGTTTGTGGAGGCTGAACAGGAACAAAAACACTGATGAAGATGCTTAGAGGGCGTCCTGCCAAAAAGGAAAATGCATACAACAGGGGTGCCGATATAGCGCCCCCCAAATAGCACCCTTGGCCCACAATAGCGCCCCCTTCTTGGCTTGTCACCATTTGTGTAGTACTTTATGCAGCTTTGTTGTACTTTGACCAGTACTCCCTACACTGGCGAAAACAGTACCCCCACACAGGCTGCCAGGGTACCCCTTATACAGGCGACCAGGATACCCCCTACACCAGTGGCCAGGGTACCCCCTACATTGGCGGCCAGTGTACCCCCGTGCACCGGCGGTCATGGTACTCTGCTACACTGGCAGCTTAGGGTACACCCTACACCGGCGGCCTGGGTACCATTTACACCGGGTGCTTATGGTACACTGCTTAGCGCCCGCGGCCCCCAACAGCGCCCCCCATTTGGCCATGTCATGGGGGGGCGCTATATAGGGACCTCTACTGTACTGGAGGGGCTGTGAGGATTCGCCCGCCAAACCGCAAAAGTCAGTCTTTGCTTTCTCCTTGGTTGGCCCAGGCTGCCCCACCATCCCTTGCCGTGGAGGCAACGCTCGTCCACCTCCACCCTTGGCTGGGCAGCGCACGGGGGCAGACGCCGGTGCTTGCCCCAGGAGCGGGCTTCAGTGAGCGCCCCTGCCAGACTGTTGAGCAGCGCCTGGGGCGCCTCCCAATTCAGGATATGCCCAATGCAAGCTATCAAGGTGACGAAGGCCTGCAAGGAGGCCGGAACTTTGAGCCTGGGATGCTGTTGCGAGTCGTGCCGATCGCACTGAGGACCGGGCAGTGAGGTGGGGGAAGCATGGGGCCCACTGACATGGACGTCAACACCGACGCGACGTCCATGAATGAGCTGGTGCGCGAGAAGCTGGTAGGCGCGCTGCGCGTGCGCCAGCTGCAGCGCAGGGAGGAGGCGCTGGTGGAGGAGCTGGAGGCTCAGCGGCGGAACGCACGGGCGTCGGCGGAGCAGATGGAGAGGGAGGCCACGGAGCGTAGGGAGCTGCGATCGGAGGTCGACGCCCTCCGGCGAACCGGTGAGGGGCTGCAGGGGCGGCTGGAGGCTGCTGAGAGGGAGCGCCGGCGAGCGGAGTCGAGGCTGGGGGAGGCGAACGCGGCGGTGGCCGAGTACAGGAAGAAGACGGAGGAGCTCGTGGTTGAGAAGTCCGATTTGACGGCGCGGCTGGCGCAGCGCTGGGAGACGTTGGCTCACCAGCACAGGCAGGCGAGTGCAGTTCTGTTTGTGGCATTGACCCACAGGACTGTTCTCAGGGAAATCAAGGCTCTGGTGATTGCGTCCCCTGCGCTTTCGTCTGCTGTGGTAGCGATCAGCACCACGAAAGCGACGGACAACTTGTGGCCCAGGCGTCCGAATTGCTTTGGAAGGTGTCCGGTCATCAGCTCATCAGCCCACAGAGCTACGAGGTTTTGTTGCCATCTGAATGTGATCGTGGTGTTGAAGCATAACACTGCTCCCCTAAAAGGTCCACTTCGAAAGTGTAATGGAGGTAGCAATATTTGGTGCATGTCTCGCCTGCAGGCCAGTGAACAGCGTACAATCGTAGAGGCTGACAAATTAAAGCACTTTGCTGAGGAGAGGGCAAGGCAAGCTGAGTCACATATCAGGGACTTGTCAAGGTCAAATGCAGCTCTGAAAGGACAGATCGAGGTTCTGAAGCTGGAAAAGCGACGGAATGAAGATCTGCAAGTAGAGACTGCTGATTTGAAGCAGCAGCTCTTGGAAAAGACGGCCAACTTCGATGGACTCAGCAGGAAGGTAAGAGGCTGCTGCCTGTGCCATGATGGTGCCAGTCAGAAACGTACTCAAGCTCCTGTGAACATTATGGGTGGCTGTGAAAATACTTCATGAAATATGTGGAGCCTAATGTTGAAACAATGCTGAAACCTGGGATGGAGAGTATTGTCCCCTTGAATGCAAATTAACATCTGTACACAATCGCTTTCAGATGAACAAGGCAATGTCGGGACATGAAATCCAGGCTAATACACTCCCCAGCCAACTGCACTCCTGTACTTCCTCTGTTCCAAATTAAATGTCCTCTATGACTTTGGCGCATCACTTCTCCATCGTAACTTCTTCCTTTTCCAGTAAAATTTTGTTCAAGGTTGTGCCTACATTTACGGAGTATACAATAAAGATTTCAATTCAATCCGTTAAATATTGAGGATTTGGCAGTACTTTGTGGTAAGGTCCTCGGTCCAAAAAACACCCCGTTTTTCCACAGTTCCGTGGAAGTGGCCCTTTTCACAGCTTTGTATGCCTTTGTGGTGGCGAAACAAAGCCGCGCATGCAAAACTATCCAAGCCGTTTGGATAGAAGCTCGGAGAGGTCCCTGCAAAGAAGCAAAGCGGTAGAAAACGTGTCGTGGTGGGCTTGATCGTGGAAGTCGCCATACCTTACTGTGCTAATTCGAGATCGATTGGCCAGTTCAGGGATGCATTCTGGCCCAGATTTTTGGGCTGCAACCTTAGAACCTCCATCGCTGCTATGAGGGATACCATGCAAGGCTTTCCAAGCCCCTTGAGGATGTGCAAAGGAATGCGATGGCCAACACCGTAATCAATGGTGGATGATTGGGGCACTGGCTGCCAAGGCAGGATGGAAAAGTCGACCCTTGCATCGACAATTGAAATGGTGGAATGCGAAGCGAACGGAGACAGAGACAAGTTTGTGTCTCTCTCACAAGTGGAGACTAGTTAGATTGCGAAGGGTTGTGGACGGCACATATGAGTTGGCTGCTAGTGGCAATTCCTGCAGTGTGGGCCCAGTCACGCATGAAAGCCTCGGTTCAGGGATCAATCGAGGCACAATGTCAGAGTAAAGTTACAACACAACCTTGTTAGAGTGATAGCCCTAACAGAGCTCAGGGGGTTGGCGATTTCTACAGTCGCCGATGTTGTGACAATAGGCTTCTTCAATGGGGATCTAAACACAGTTGAGCATGTTTGGCAAGCGCCATACCACGTGAGGGACCTTGCACTTCATCACCATGGCAGCAGCGACTTTGCTTTGGCATGCCTGGGACTGAGTGATCCAGAACCACACGGATCTCCAATCGACGCGCCGAATCAGAATGCATAGTTTTTGGCCAAATCTTAGGCAATTTCGAGGAGGTCCTAGAGGTAATGTGTATGAGTACGTTTTCGCAAAATTTGATAGTTGAGGGTTTTAGTATCCAATCTTTTCGATTCTGACCTTGTTTTATACTTTTGAGGCCTCCCTTTAAACGAATTTTGTCTTTCAAGGAGAGGACAATTTAATTTGAGACGGAGGAAGTAATATTTATACACAACATCCCAATGTGCTCCTGAAAGGCTTACGCACCTGTTAAATGCCCTAGAAATTTGCCTGCAAACCAGTGCAGTCTGGTGCCATCCTGGGATGGTGACTTGCCAAGGAACAAAGAGGGTTCTGGCTCCAGAATCATGACACTGCATGCAACTTGGCTGCCATCTCCCGTCTACTGGGAAAACCACTGCTGCCTTCGCAACACCATATTGACCCTGCTCAACTTTGCTTGCCCTGTTCTCCATGGCCACAAACTACCCCCCCCAGTTCGTTTGCATTGATTCTTGTCATCTTCACCTGTGCGCTTGTTCAGGTTGCTATATTCTTGCTTGTATGTTGCTTTCCTTGATGTTTCCTGATAGGAGAAGCATCAAGATGACTGGCAACTTGCCAGGCAGAGGTTCCTGGTTTCCAGGAGATATTAAAGCTTTTGTTGTTATGTTGTTCACATGGCTGTTAATGACATGGTCCCTGCTCATATCTGTGCAGGCGAATGCCACTGTGTCAATGCCTTAAACAATGGATGGCAACATCCGATCACTATGTCAATAGTTGTTGACCATTGTGAAAAGGAGCGATGATGCTGCAGCCCTTGTGAAGTATAGCATGGACCGAATTCAGTTCTTGGTTCAGTCAATACCTGCTTCACAGAAAAATTCAATGGCTGCCCTTTTTGTGGATGCGTTTGCAGGTGTCTGAGATGCAGAAGGAACTACAGGCAAAAGAAAAACTGCATCTTACTCAATTGTCAAGAGTAGAGATGGAAGTAACCAAACTCAGGGAGGCAGGAGATAAATGCATGCAACAGGCTCTTGAAGCAGAGATCCAGTTCAAGGAGAAGCTGAGGGACCAAGAATTGGAGTAAGCTGGAAGCGTTGTCTCACAATGTCTCACTGTGGAATTCCTTACTGCATGCATCTACCCAAACCTCACAGAGCTCTGCCCTTCAACTGGTAGGTAATGTCATGTGCTGTTCTTGACCCCAGCTGCTGGGTTCCCTGACACATGTTTCACTGCTGCTGTGGTTGTTGCTCAGATAAGAATGCTGGCAGCTTCTCACCAGTGTGCTTTTGTGGTGTGTTTGATGTTCAGCGTGCTTCTGCAGGTGGACCGACGTTGTCAGCTCTCTGAGAGCTGCACTGCTGGATGCAACGAACAAGATCGGCGCACTGAGCAAGGGGCATGAAGAGCATGTGTCACAGCTCAAGAATCGGATAGTTAGGATGGAGAAACGTGCTGTGAGGGACACGGAGAGTACAGTGGACGGCATTGTTGCCTGGAAGATGGAAGCGCTGCAGAAAACCAGGGAGGCGATTGCAAAGGCGGAGGATGATGCCCGGGTGGAAGCAAAAGAGCTGCAACTGAAACTGGCATCCTGCTGTGAGGCACAAGCAAGGTGGGATGAATGGGTGCAGAGAGTAAAGTGCAGCCCTGGCACTGCACTTGGCAGTGGTGCAGTCCAAACTTTCTGCTGGAATGGGCAGGGGTACATTGGGCAATGAGTCAGTCCATTTGACTCCAGTGGCTGGAAAACGACGAAGGAGAGCCTGTCACTCGCTAGGCAATGATAAGTGTAACTGTGGTACAATGTTTGGTCAGGAGGGTTTGGCTATTTTGAAAAAGTGATGGGCAAGGTGGGGAGTTGGGAGATTGCTCAAAGAATCCTGCTTGTGCTGCTGCAGAAGAGATTGCAGCACAGAAACAGGCATGTCCAAACAAAGAAACATTGTTCCTGCACATGTTAACAGCAATTGTGACGACTGTTTGGAATGTGTTGTTTGTATCTGTGCATCGGTACGTGGGGCCCTGGCAAAGTGCTGTTTGAACACAGGAAACACAGGTGTTGTTGCCAGTTGTGCGAACTTGGGTGCATTAGAGTGCTGCACTGTTGAATTTTAGCTATCGTGGGACAGGAAGAGGGTGTGGAACATCCTTGCCATGTCCAGAGAGTGTCAGGTTGATTTTCCATCACATGCACGATGGACAAAATGCGTAGTTAGCGAAAAGAGAGACTGTCTTAAAGGAGCCACACAGTGGGTTGTCGAAAGTCTTCTTTGGCTATCTTTGTCAAAAAAGTTCTGGCAGTGAGATGTGCATTGCATCCTGGGGAGCGGAAAGCATGGCAGATGTGGATAGTCCACATATTGTCACAATGTGTCGTGTACAAGCTGTGCTGACATTTTCGAACAAATGGTCAGCATGAGTACATGAAGGGGGAACACACCATGAATCTGAGAGCCTCAGCGAAACGCTGTGGCAGATGAGCATGAGGATAGTGTTCACCGTTCAAGTACAGATGGGCTGGCAGGTTTAGATATGCTGTTGCTAAATGAGTGGAATTCAACATGGCTTGCATGAAGGCTGGCCTGTGTGTTTTCCAACAGAACGAACTCTGAATTGGCAGACGCCAGCCGCTTGTTGAGCTATGAGAAAGGAAAAACCAATGCAATGGACTTTGAAGTTCAAGAATTGAAGAAACTGTTGCAGTCTGTGCAAGATGAGCTTGCAGAAGTGAATCGCCTTAACAGCCAATACAGAGAGGATAACAATTCTTTATCAGAGGAGGTGGGCTTGTCTGCTTGTGTAGACTGTGCAGTTGCTGCCTGTGTGATGGCACAGTTTTTTGAATGTAGAAAGTACTGTACTCTTCAAGGCACCAAAGATACCGCTTTGCTCTCCAACATGTGCTCATCAGAGACTGAACTTCTTGCTGTCACCCGTCACAATCCCTCCCTGTTGTTCCATCGTCTTGGCTGAAATGGGGCTTACCAAAATGGGCATTACCAAAACTGTTTGAGAGCATTGTAATTGCCATTGTAGTTTGGGGACCTTGTTCTTGTCATCGCCGATGGCTAGCTGTCCAGCGCTGTGAGGACACGTTTTTCAAAGCTCTGTGCACAACAGGTTAAGGAATGGAAGGCTTTGGATCAATCCCATATCCAGCAGCTGGAAGCTTCCAAGAAGATTGCGCTTTCATTGGAGAAACAGTTTCTCGAGGTGACTGAAAAGCTCCAGATTGCAGTTAATGGCCTCAACGCCGCCAATGCAAAACTGAGCGCTGTGGATGCAGAGAGAGCTGTACATCAAAAATACAGAAAGGAAGCAGAAGACAAGGGACGGGTGCTGGAACAGCATTTGGAGGAGGTCAAGGCTCGCGCGGCGCAGACGAATGTGCAATGCGAAAGGCTGGAGGCTGAATTGACCCAGGTCTGTTGTGTGTTTGTGCGCATGAGTGTGCATAGAACAATGTACAGATGGACAAACGAGGGCAACTCCTTTGGACGAATAATCTGGCCCTTTGGTAGCTCCGCACAGCATCGGTAGAGCAATTAGTTGTCATGAACGCAACAGGCAAACTCTCTGAGGTTTTCTATTCTAAAGTATTACTTCCCTGTCCGGAATGAAATGTCTGGATTTGTTGGGGAGGCCAATTGTGCACAGGAAGTACATCGCATTAAGACTCAACAAAGAGTCATCTAGGAAAAATACTGTAATTGATCACACTGCAAACATGTCAGCGCTAGAAAGCATGGAATGGCAAAAGGTTTTGTCCACCAGAAGTTGTTTTCTGGGCATTTCTGAACAAGCAAGTAGAACATGGTGGACTGCATGGTTTTGTTAGCATATGATCACGAAGTTTGCCCATTTTTGTACAGTGGCTTTGCAATACCAGAATTGTTGGAAGCGACCAAAACTCGCATGTTTGATGAATTGTAAAAAGCTTGGTATCATATATGCAATACTTCAAAAGATTTTGACACAGAGCTGATCCACCTGGTAAATTAGGAAGTGTAGTCATGTCGCTGCACAATTCAGCGATGTTCTTGCATTCATGGCTGGAAGTGAGAGACCAAGTGGCGTCCAAGATTTGCCTGCAACCATGGCTTATTGTTGCTGCAGATGGCAATCAAGGCTAGAGAACAAGCCGAAACAGCAGAGACAACCAAGCGCTCGCACACACTGCTGGAAAGCCGCTTGGCACATCTGCAGGGCGAGAATGACGAGGTCAAAAGAGTGCTTGCCTCTGTTGAAATTGAGCTTAACGCCTGCCAAAACCATGTCACAAGTCTTCAAAAAGATGTGTCAAGTGGAAATAAACAGGTTGCAGAAGCCATCGAAGCAAGGTCTGTTCTAGAAGAGGCGTTGGGACGAGTACGTGCAGACTTGAAGAAACAGTCATCTGAGTACAAAGCACTTGAGGGAAGCCACGGTGACCTGCAGCGAAAAATTGACCAGGCTTGGAAAGATATCATGACGTTGTCAAGGTCATACATCTCAACATTGAGACACTGGCAGACTGGGGTGGATAATCTGCTGCTGGAGACTCGTAGTGGCTTTGGTGGATTCGCTGATCAACATTTGGGTAAGATCGCTGCGGATGTGCAGAAAGATGGATGCAGCATCTAGCTTATCAACTACCTGTTGATATCACTACATGGTTGTTGCCAGCCTGGTTGCCACAGGACAGCTTACCCATCACTTCCTTTCATCTTCATTTGTGGATGTGGATGTTGCTTTTGGCGTGCCTGAAAAAAGCTGCTGCATTCATGCAATTGACTTGTGTAGATGTTTCCAAAGTGAATCCGTCTCAAAGTGTTATTTGGTGGTTGCGGGTAAGATCATCCATAAGTTGTTTTCATCCTTTCGTTCGTTCAGTTGATCTCGCTTCCTTTCATTTCACATCCTAGTGTTCCATTGTATTTCATCTGGCTTCATTTCATTTCATTTACCCACACAGATGGCATCGTTCTGCAGTTGAAGGCAGCTGAGAATGTCCGGCCCACCCCGCCAAGCTGTAGTTTTCTGCAAGAGGTGCATGGTGCATGGAGGAAAAGAAAAAGGGCTGCATTGGAGGGCCGAAGGGTGAGCAGGACCATGAACGCTGCAGTGGTGCTGTCGTCGTTGACAGCAAGAATGGCGCTGTCGAATCAATAGGGTACCCAATGTCGACCAATATGCGAACGGGTGGGCGGGTGGGGGATTGAGAGTGATTTGCCCTTCTGGACAAACTCACATCGATGGGCACGCCTGAGCAGGACTGCAAATGATATGCAATCGATAATCCAGCATGTACCACAAACCTGAGAGCATGCTGGTGCCTGACGCAATCCCACTTCGGGCTTTCTATTTCCCTTGTGGAGTATGATTCTGCCCAGTTGCACAAGCTTCAATTGTCCAGACAACTCTTGAACCGGCATTCAGGCGCCGCCAGATGGCTGACAACACTGATCAGCAAGGCCATTGGGTGCGGGTCAAGTGTTTTGAGTTTCAGCTTGCCACTCCAGCATGCAACTCTTCCATATTAGTGATTGGTTGTGGAGCCAACATTGTTCACCAGCGTTCTCCAAAAAGTCAAATGTAGTAGTGTTGCCAAAGGCATGCAGACGATAGCATGACTTGCTACCACTACTCCAGCAGTGGAAGCGGCCTGCAACCATCGCTGTTGAGCCAATGCTGATCTTAAGGCCTTGCTCTTTACCATACCCTTACCACTGGTCTTGGCACGTTCTCAGAGTCGCAATGCTCGATTGTCGGTTATGCTTGTTGGTGTTGCTGGGACTGTTGCTGCCACTATGGTGCAACTTCTCTCGTTTTCATCACACTGTTGACTGAGATGCAAAGAATGCAGTCTCTCCAGGAGCTTTGTTGGGCACAGAGTCCTTTGAGTTTGTCCTTTCTGGGTTACTTTGTTGAATTCATTGGGACAGCTTGTTCGCAGTTTATTTTGCAGAGCGCGCTCCTGTCTTGTCCCTCCTTGAATTGAGTGCTTCTCCTTGTCTCAAGGCAAGGCCAAGATGGCATGCGCTGCTCGCAGGATCACGATACTGTGCCGCAAGAGCCAGATTGGCCAGGCACGGCGTTGGGACCCGACGTGGTCCAACCTTTTATTGAACAGCTGACTGCTGCCGCAATGGACATCTCAGGGCGTCTGGACAGCTTGGAAGGCAAGATTCACGAGTTATTCGATTTGTCTGGTAAAAGCATGGGCATTGTGCTGGAGGCCGCGGTGGATGCGCAGCGGCGTACAAAGGAAACTATGAAGAAATGCCTCATTAAGGTTGGTGGCTTAATCATTTGTAAGTGTCCGGTGTGTCAACACGTCAAGTTGCAGGTAGGCGTGACGGTTGGTTGCTTGCCAGTCTCCCCATAACTGTTTTCAGGAATGTGACATGCATCGCAGCAAGCCAGGGAAAGCTGTGCTTGTTTTCACGCTATTGAAGTCCGTACTCTCATTGCATATCAACATGCCAGGTAGGTGTACACCAAATCAAGTGAAGAACATTTTAGCGTGCAGCTGCAAGTGAGTTGTCTGAATTCACTCTTCTGTTAGTTGTGCTCAGGTGTGTGGAGCACCTGGGCTTCGCGTCAGGTCCCCCCGTTGAAAGTGAATCGAGTTTGCGAATTCTCCAGAGGGGACTTGAAAACAGCGCTATTGCTATCGGACTTCTGGGAAGGCTGTATCCTGCCAGATTTAGGCTGGGCACCTGGGCACTGTCCCAACTGCGTTCTCATTTGACGGGCTGGAGTTACGTTGTTTCTACAGTTTGGTTTATGCTGTGTGTGCCACATTGGTTGTGGGTACGTGCAGCGCATGTCACCAGCAGGTTCTGCGTCGACGAGTGCTGTGCGAAGGCCCAATATGACTGGTCTTGTATTTAAGTATAACGATTGGGGCCATAGGGCGGTGGCACAACAGCAATTGCACGAACATTATGCATGCACTGTATGCATTCATCTGTTTCAGATTTTTAGATGCACTTTCTCCTGTCATCGATTTTGTTGCTTCTGGTCACTGCCTTGTGTCGCCGGCATGACGAAACGGTTGTAAACTTTGCCGATTTGCGGTGGGCTGCATGCTGCATTGATCGCTTTAGGCAAGACGGCTTGAGTCGTACTGGTTGCGCAGCAACAGAAGACCGCCCAGCACACAACAAGGCAGTCATTGACACCCATGGCAAGGCAATAAGCGGGGCCACCCATACACTCAGCGCAAGTTGCGGCGTGCTGACAGGCCTCCATGCACTCGGTGACGGCGTTCAAACCAGAGGAGGCACTGTCGCTGATGGACATGGACAGCAGGCAGGATCGAGAAATCCAGTCCTTTCTGTCCGACATTGCCGCAGCAGTTCAAGGCACCATGGAACTGCTGAAGGACAAGCAGCACAAAACCGAAACTGACCTCCTGTGTGCAGAAGGGAAAATTGAAGCGCTTGTTAGCATCAGGGACCAGCAGGAGCTTCAAATACACGACTTGAACAAGGCACTGGGTGGGTGTCGTCCTCAGCAGTTTGATGTCCATAAGGATCTGGTGGGCCGCCTCTGCCCATAATGGGCACTTATTGTATCGGCAGGCAAACAGCATTGCCAGGTGTTGCTGCATCAGGACGGCTTGTTTTGGTTCAATACTGCGGCTCTTTGCAGCGCCACGCAGCGATTTAGTCGCTGTATGAACGACACAGTTTTGCCTTGATGCCCAGACTACCAAGGCCGTTGGATACTGCGACAATGACCCGCCATGGTCAAAATTGAGTGTAAACCCAATCCAAAGATGGTCTGCCTGTTAGGTTAGGATGTTTGGGGTTGGCTGTGTTACTTCAATCCAACCATGCTGGCGTTTGAGTCAAATACGATCGAGTGGCGTCCTGGATTGTGGACTAGGTCGAGCCTCATTGGGCAAATTGAGTTTTCCTCGACTTGCACTCCGCTTTGACCAGGTGAACGTCTACATCCTTGGATAGTTGCAGTGACGGCACCCTCAACAGGAATGACATAAACGCATTCATATGGGTTGTATCTGCTCCAGCGCGTTGATGCCCCCGTTCCTTAGGGTTGCAGTTGATTACTTGACAACCACCGATGCCAGCGCAGCCCACAAATTTTTGTATATTTCAACATACAAATCTAGTGCACATGTGCACTTATACTCATCTACTCATTATACACACTGGATGCCAAGTCCTGATGCAGAGCGAACCGTCCATCACGAATGCCGGGGCCGCACATTGCCTGTTTAAATGCAAAGCAGATGCACGAGAGCATGCAAGCCCCCCGCCAGCAGCCAGCTGTGAGGTTGGAAACACTTTTGGCTTTTGCAGGTGAAGTTAGGGCACACTACCATGACGCCCAAGAGGGCCTCGCCATGCTGGAGGGCGATCGGCAGGACGCGGTGAAGAAGATGGAGGAAGCTGCCATGAAACTCAGAATTGAAACAAGAGAGAGTGACAATCTTCGAGAAGACGTCAAGGCAGGTCTGAAGAGAATCGGAGAGCTGGAGGCGGAGGTGGAGCGGTTGGAACGGTTGGAGGCGGCTGCGTGCCAAGCACAGAAGAGGGCCATGGAAATGGGCGCAGAGAAGTTCTTCAAGCACCGACAGGGCTGGCGCCAGATTATCGAGACCGTTGGAAGAATAAAAGAGGGTGTTAGCATACTGAAAGGCGAGACAACGGGGAGCTTAGACTGCCTAAGGGAAGTTTGCGAAGGTTTCTTCAAACGCTGCGAGCTCAGGATGGTCGAATTGGCAAGGTACAGCAGCTGTGAAAATCGCGAGATCCAAGGCGCTGCGGCCTTCACAACATCCTTACGCGCTGCATGCATGCAACGCCATGGCTCGCGATTCCACAGTGTGTTCTTGGCAACCATCCAGGAAACTCACAGGGACTTTTGACAGAAATGCGTTGCTGTCGAGGTGATGGCGCCAAGGACTCGGTTCTCTTGGTTCTCGCCTTGCGTCCACACGGTATTCTGCCATTTGCAGCAACCATCCGGTGTGCCTGGCGAACTGCAGACGGCATGGCAGCTCCTTGTGAGGGTTGTTCGAGCAGCTGCCTCTGCACTTTGGACAAGGCATGAATCAGACAACAGTTGGTGCACTGGGCAGCCAACTGAATGGCCGCACACCTTACAGGCTCACCTTTGTTTGTGAATGGACGCTCGATGGCCTCCTTTGCAGGCAGAAGCACGACGCGGACCTTGCGCTCGAGCAAATCACCTCGAAGCGACAACAGAGGTCCAACGACACTTCAAAAAGGGCAGGCCCCGGGCCCACCAATCTCATGAGTGAGGTGCTTGGCAACGATCGTGCCGACACGGTCAGCCCGGGAATGGACGATGCGTCGTCGCATGTACAACAGGAGGGTGCCCCGATTGCAGACTGATCATATCTCCGGGCAACTTGGAGTTCTGTTGTCGAGGGTTGCCGGCATTCGCGGACAGCGCAATGCCTGACGTTCAATATGTCAGATCGGTCGTTTGCGGATTCCGTATTTGTACACGTTGGTCAGGCGACAAGGAGGTCTCAGCGCCTCGCTTGTACTAGAGGCCTGGAGCGGGCTCATTCGCAAGAGACGGACTCCCGGGCAATGTTGCCTTAGGGTACATCTAATGCACTGTTGGGTGAGTGGCCAAACTTTGCCAGGCAAAGGTGTCGCAGGCTCCCAGGCTGTGCTTGTAACTGTTCCAAGCATCAAGAAATTCTTTCATTGGTAGTGACAGCAATGGATTACGACAACTGTGAGTTTCAGCAACATCGTGGCATCCGTGAATACGTCTGTAGTGGAATCGATTGCTGGCCGTCTCTCTTCCTTGGTAACTCCTGAGCGACGGCCCTGCTGCAACAAGTACGTGGACAGCGGACATTGCAAAGACCCCCGTGGCGAAGAAGAGTTTGGTCGGCAAATTTTGCTCCTTGGAGTGAATGGGAAGGTGGGTGGGTCAAGGGAAGTGACTTAGAAAGGGCGACACATCCCCAAAAGGGTTTTTCAATTCAGCAAAAAGATTCTTCGCCAAGCAGCCATTGGCTCGGCAGTGCAGCGCAAAAAATGCGGCGGAAAATGGTGGCTCCCAGCTGCTGCGCAGTCTTCGCAATAAAGCAGGCGCCGCGAGTGTGCTTTAGACTTTGGTGCCGAATTGCGCCCAGTGCAAGCCTCGCTGTGGCCAAAAATTGGGTCCCAAACCAAAGCATTTGTCGCCAATATTGGCACACAGGCTTGTCATATCGAAGACTGCAGAACGGATTCACGACACAATTAGTCGACGGCACAGCCGTCGACACAAAAGAATGAGGCATTCTCCACCGGTCCCGTCCAACATCACTCAAAAATGCAGACAGCTTGGGAGCTGCACATCTGAACCACCCCTGAACAGTCGGCAACGTTTGGCTGTGCCTGAAGTTCCGATCAGTGACGTGCTCACTTAGTGAATCAATTCGACAAATCAACATGCAAAGAGAAGTGTATCTATGAACGTGCAACGAACAAATCCAATTCATCCATTTTGAGGCTTGCCATCCACACAGATCGCACGTTTAGCCACTAGCGCTCCTATCGCCCGCGGCGCCTGCGACAAATCCTTGTCGGCCATTTTTGATGTTTGTCATTTGAAACTGACTGCACTTTTAGCCAACAGCGCTTTTAGCCCTGTTGGTGGCTGTGACTCCCGGAGGCGCCTCCATTGTAGCCTCCCTGGGGCCTCCTTGGCGCTGTCTTCCTCGCCACTGGCTTTCTGGGCAGCGGGCACGGCCGAAGGACGTTGTCGATGATATGCACCACGCCCGGACAAACCTCCACATCTGGAGTCACCACGATTGCCGACGAGGCCCCGCCATTGACAATCACATCGCCGTCGACTGTGCTGGCGAAGGCCACCGTCGACACGCCGCAAGCGCTGTCGTTGCCAAGCAGCGTCTCGACGCCAACTCCGTAAGGGATGTCGCTGGAGAAAACCTTGACGTTGAGAACATGGTACAGCAGAACTTGCTGCAGGAGCTCCTCGTCGTCCGTCAGGTCGGCGATGGTGATGCCCAGGGATGAGACGGTGGCGTCGAATGCCTCGTTGGTGGGAGCGAAAATAGTTAAGCCGGTGGAGTCCGAAAGCTGGCCCGCCAAGCCGGCTTGGTTCAGGGCGGCGAGAAGGGTAGTGAGGCCGGCTTCCTCCGCGGCTTCAATCAGACTCTTGCACTCGGCTGGGGTGTGCAAGAAAGGCACTCGTCAGAGGAAATGGTTGTTGGCTGCTGATCAGAAACCGAGAGTGGAGACATTCACCAGCACAGGCGACAGTTGAGAATGGTGCAAATGGCCTTCAGCACATGGCACGGGGCTGACACTGACGCCGAGACTTCACGAGGCATTCCACCGCCGACGTCTGACCATCGTCGATTCTAAACCACGCGCTGCCGACACCCCTCTCACATGTGCATAATGAAAGAGCAAGCCGACGAGGAAAGTGTTGCCAGTCCATTGTGGGAGTATCGAATAAGCAGCGAATGTGTGTCAAGCAGATGGCACAATTTTGTTTAGAATCACCCTCACCTATTGACCCAGAACATGCAGTTTTGAATCAATTATGTATGACAAAGGAAAACGGGGTTACCTCGGATTGGAGGTATAACAGGGGATGGTGACGGGCCTGGTGACGGTGGCGGTGTCGGAGCTGGTGACGATGGGACTGGCGGAGCTGGTGACGGTGGCGGTGTCGGAGCTGGTGACGGTGGCGGTGTCGGAGCTGGTGACGGTGGCGGTGTCGGAGCTGGTGACGGTGGCGGTGTCGGAGCTGGTGACGGTGGCAGTGGCGGAGCTGGTGACGGTGGCGGTGTCGGAGCTGGAGATGGTGGCGGTGTCGGAGCTGGAGACGGAGAGATCTCGGGTGATGGTGCTAAGGGGCATGGCAGAAGGACGTCGTCGATGACATGCAGCACGCCCGGACAAACCTCCACATCCGGAGTCACCACAGTTGCGGATGACTCGCCACCGTTGACGACCACGGTGCCGATATCCGGTCTCTCGAACATCACCGTCGATACGCCACAGTCACTGTCGTTGCCCAACAGCGTCTCGAAGCCGACGCCGTAGGGGATGTCGCTGGTGAAAGCCTCCATGTTGAGGACATGGTACAACAGAATTTCCGCCAAGGCCTCTTTGTTGCTCGTCAGGTCGGCGATGGTGATGCCCAGGGATGCGACAGCGGCGTCAAATGTTGTTCGTCAGGTCGTCGATGGTGATGCCCAGAGATGCGACGGCGGCTTCAAACGCCTCGTTGGTGGGAGCGAAGATGGTGTAACTGGGGGCGGTTGAAAGCGCGTCCGTCAGACCCGCTGCATCGATGGCGGCAAGGAGAGTGGTGAGACCCGCTTCATCCGCAGCCTCAGTCAGACTCGGGCACTGCGCTGTCAAACGGAAGCACACCCGTGTTAGTGCAAAACGGCCAGCGTGTTAGCAAATTGACTTACGGAGAATGTGAACAGTCAGATGGTGCCGCGGTCTAGCGTTGCACAGTGAGCGCCAACAGTTCGCGCAGTGATGGCAACTCTTCAGCAAGACGTCCGCAGGCGGCCAGGCACAAGTCTGGGTGTGCTGGGGAAGATTAGCGTCCTTCAGCAAATGGAAGATTTGGTATCATCAAGATCTATAGAGAGGAGCTGTAAACGTTGGTGGAGCCAAGCAGGCTTGGTCTTCAGGGTGTAAATATTTTGCTATTTACGGCTCTTTGTGCGTTAAAATGGTTTTTAAATTTTTGCATGTAAATAGCCGCAACAATGGGTAAAGATGGGCCCTGTGTTCTTGAAAGCAGTACATAGCGACTCAGCAAGTGCGGGGAGTGGCAGCCAGACATTCTGAAGTATGCATAAGACGATTTTTCTTGCTGAGGAACGTTGTTCCCCTGGATGTGGCCTGGTGTGCTCTGTGTTACCAGAGAGAGTGGAGGATCGATCGTTGATTGGGAAATCATCACGTCCTCTGGGCGTGTCTGGATGACGAGCCGTAAATAGACGTAAAAATATGGCCGCAAAAATGGCCATTTCACTATTTTATGCATAAAAACGTTAACGTAAAGACCAAGCCTGGAGCAAAGGAAAGCCAATGAAGCACACGACTCACACAAGTGACCATGTAGCTCCCACAACACTCCCATTCAGTAGTCACATCCGCACTTGGATATTTTATTATTCACTTTCTTCTGGAGCATTGGCACCGATCTGGGCGGAACCGACTCATACAATTTCCTCATGGGATCATACATATAAGGTGTCCGTATATCTAGCCCAGTTTGCTCAGTACATTCGCGCCTGCTCCATTGACCCAATTTTTTTCCCACGTGAGATGGGAGATCTTTGGGACTTCCCGCCATTTTCTTGCTCTTTGTAATGACAAATACCCTGTGGTGCATTGGAGCCATGCCAGATGCATAATAATACTTCAGCACATGTACAACAATACTTCTGAAGCACACCTGGCCAAGCTTCCAACTCATCACAGGATATTCATGATAAGTTTGTCGACTCGAAAGCAAACGCCCTTTCCATTTACTTGCCCACCAACACATGAGCAGTCTTCACGAGAAGGTGACCTTAACATGGGCTGAGCTGCTGTGATGCATCATACGCACGCTTTTGATGTACATGTACCTCATCCTTACCGACGCAAAATATTTTGCGATTAATCGGGATGCCCGCATTGAAACAACTGTTCGAGTGAAAGGAAACTGTCTTACGAGGAGGCGGAGTTGCAGATGGCGTTGGAGCAGGAGATGGGCCCGCCGTTGGCGGAGGTGCCGATGGGCATGGAAGAAGGACGTCATCGATGACGTGCAACACGCCCGAGCAGATCTCAACGTCCGGGGTCAGCACGGTTGCCGCCGAGGCGCCACCACTGACGGCCACCCCACCGTCGTCTGATATCTCGAACGCCAACGTCGACACTCCGCACGAGCTGTCGTTGGCGCCCAGAAGCGTCTCAGTGTCAACGCCGTAGACAATGTCACCCGACAAAACCGTGGTTTCGAGGACGTGGTACAGCAGCACTTCCTCCAGGAGCTCTTGGTTACTCAGCAGGTCGTCGATGGTGATACCCAACGATGCGACGGCGGCTTCGAAAGCCGCGTTCGTGGGGCAAAAGACGGTCGAGCTGTTTAGGCCCGAAAGAAAATCCGTCAAACCCGCTTCGGCAAGGGCAGCAAGGAAAGTGGTAAGGCCCGCTTCCTCCGCAGCTTCGGCCAGACCAGGGCACACCGCTGCAACGAATAAAGCATGTAGGTCAGGGCTGAATGGCCACAGAGCATTCTTATGTTCTTATGTTCCAATACGACATTCCCCCCAGTGCAATGGCCCCCCAATACCAAGATGTTGCAAGTTCTCCAACAAATCGGGCAAATTTCGCATCCCGATGCTGTGATACAAAAGCCTTCGAGCGCAACACAAGCAACTGCAGCAGTGTCTTCCTGGCGTCACTTCGTCTGAACAAGCCAGCCCCGGCTGGTCGAGTCCTGGGCAGAGTAGAAGTGCAGCAACGCCCAAGCCAAAGGGAGCGATGTGCCTCACTGGTATCCGCGTCCACAGTACACGCACGCATCCGGCCTGTCACTGACAGAAACGCCATTTTTGTGATGCCATTTTGGCACCAAGTGGGGGCATCACATATGGTCGCAATGGCACAAGGTTAGCTGCAGTGGCATCAATTAGTGCCAAATGGCGTCGCAGTTGGCATTGCATAAGGGCCGTTTTCTCCTGGTGTTTGAAGCGGTTATCACCTATCGGCGGTTCGTCTCCCGGCTCTCTTCCCAGTGGGCACGGCAGCAGGACGAAGTCGACGACGTGCAGGATGCCCGGGCAGGTCTCGAAGTCCGTATCGACGACGCTGGCGTTCGTCACGCCCCCCACCACGGTCACCTCTCCCCCGTCGACCGAGGCGCCCACCGTCGACACGCCGCAGCTGCTGTCGTTGCCCAGCAGCGTCGGGTAGCTCTCTCCGTCAGCGAGTTCCGAGGCAAACAACTGCGAAGTGAGGACGTGGTAGAGCAGCACCTCCGTCAGCAGCTCATCGTTATTGGTGAGGTCGTCGATGGTGATGCCCAGCGCTGCGACCGCGGCGTCGAATGCGGCGTCGCTCGGCGCGAGTATGGTCACGTTGTTGGCCTCCGCCACCGTTCCCAGCAGGCCCGTGGCCTCAAGGGCCGCCAGGAGGGTGGTGAGGCCGGCGCCCGAAGCCGCGTCCTCCAGGGGGGTGCAATCTTGGGCTCGGGCGCCTGTAGCGCATTGCCAACTCGTGCTCAATAACGTTGCGCGCCAGGGCTGACCAAATAGTTAGGTGAAGCGCACACCGCGGGAGGGAGCCGGTGTGTGCGGCGTCCATGGCCGTCTGACTCCACGGCCGCCGCCACTCTCTTGCCCCCACCCCTAGCATGTCAACCCCTTGGCCGCCAGGCCGCATACACCACCAGTGATGAGCTGCGCGCAGCGCCTGCGGTGCGTCGCCAACGAGTTGTCAACAACGTTGTGCGCCAGGGCTGATCAAATCCTGATGCGAAGTGCACTGCATGGGAGCCGCTGCGCGGTGCCTGCGACGATTTAACTCTGCAGCCGCCGCAACCTCCCAGCCCTTTGGGCCCCAAACCGCAAGCAAACAGCAATACAACAAGGCTTGTCGAACAAGATGCACACAGGTGCGAGCCCATTTCGAACACCTGTACCGCAATGCGCACGACCTCCCCGAACGGCGGGACCATCCAATGGCAGGGGGGGGGCTGCGGGACCACGCCGGAGTGAATCCGGGGTGGGCAGGCGAGCGCAAGGGATTCGGGCGCAGCAGCGACGATCGAAGCCTTCGCGGCTCAATTGCGCGGCGGACGGTGACGACCAGAAATCGCGCACAAGAACACGCGGTCCTCGGCTTTCACAGACGGGGCGGAGCCCCCTGATGTGGCAGAACACACGCGCATAGGCGACCCGATCTGCCCCGCCCACATGCATTGCCCCGTTCGGACGACGGGCGGCAATGCGCGGATCGCCATGCACCGCAGCGGCACCCGTGTACGATTGCATGATGCTGACCATTGGCGCGCCCCGTTCTGGCGCGCCGCCCGGCGCGGCCGCCGCCACGCGGCCATCGGCCTCAAGTGGCGCCAGACGGCGAATCTCTGCCGCATTAAGGGCTTCTTGCGGGAAAGCGGGCCCGCTCCGCGTCGGCCAGCCAAAGTGCACCCCAAGGTGCCACCCGCGATGACACGCGGCGCCTGCGACAAGGCTATGAATCCGGCCGCCAGCGCCCACCTATCAGCAGCAGCGCCGCCAAGACCGGCAGCAAAATCGAGCGACCCATGGCCGAATGGCCCGCCGGGGCGCAGCGGGAAGCCGCGTCTCCGGACACAGCCGGGAAGCAATGGAACTAATGACCGCCTGGGGGGGCCGGCGGGACTGAGCCCAATGCGGGCGCAAGGCTGGGTGCCATTTGTACTTGGGAACAGACACCTGACTGACGTGGCGTGCACGCCAGTTCCCACATGGGAAGTCGCGTCAAGCTACAGCGGATCGTGTGAAGTGTGGCGCAGCAGGATCTCTTCGTCGTGTGATGGCAGGGAGCCCGGCGTTCAGATTGGAGGGGGGACAGATGTTTGGTAGGGAAGTATTCGCACCCACACGGGGAATTTCCTGAGAAGAAGCCGCCGGCTTTGACCCCACGGCCCCGACTTCCCACTCCGGCCCCGGCTGACCTTCAGGCTGGAGGACGAATGGTGGAGGGCGGGTACCTCACCCTGTCGCCATTGCGGGAAAGGCAAACGCTTGCGTGTCAGCTCGGGTACTGCGGCCAAGGAGAATGCGCGACAGAATCTGGGCAGAGAATGACACGGTGCAGCATAAACCAGGGACCAGTAACCAGAGGGAAAGCAACCTTTCGTCCGTGCCGGATGCAAGCCGATGCAGACCAGAATGCGTCTGTCAGAACGTGGTGGCCCACATCTCGCCCCAGGAGGGGGTGCCCAGGGATGTGCGTGGAAAACACCATTTTCGCAACGCCCACTGCGATGCCATTTGACACTAATTGATGCCATCGCAACCACTGTGACGGCGCCACTTACTGCCAAAGCGTCATCGCCCTTGGCATTGCAAACATGTCATTCTCTGCTGGTGGCGGTCAGGGGCGAGACGAGGCGGACAGATGGCAGCCAGGCTTGCAACTGTCCCGGGGGTGCCTCCAAAATCTGACCGAATTCCATTCGTGAGTCCCTGTCAGGCGGACATCCGTCCCGGTACATGCTGGGCTGAATGGGCCACAGGCCCCGGGTACCCTGCAGTCTTCTCCGGCTCTTGGGGCGCACCGAACCTGACAGCCTGTCAGTGACAGGTGAGGAGAGGCGACGAAGCGCAGAAAGCGCATGTGGGGGTTACGCACTGGATAACTACGGTGGGTAATCTTCCAGCACCAGATGGTTAACGTAGGTTAGCAGCCAAACAGGGCCGCTGCGGTAGGCTACTGCAGCAGTCTGTTGTTTGTTGCAAGGAGGATGTCTGGAATGGAATCGAACCGGGTACATCGATGGGATGCCCCACACCTCTACCAATCCACCCGGCCAGGGATAAGGAAGAGGATAGTCCAACCCTCCAAGTGCCCTTCCACCCAACACAGTCCTGCTTGGTCACTGTAGGGGCCAGAGGCAGTGAGGGCCGGTCGCCCCAGTTGAGCGCGGCCGGTCGTCAGCCAAAGGCAGGAGCGGAGTGGAGAGGGCTCACATGGGAGCGTGAATGTCTGCGAAAGGGAACACATAGATTGCCCCGTTCCATGAACATTGTCTCCACTCGCAGCCGCCAGTCTGCGAGTTTGGTTTGGTGCTTATCCAGCCGAGCTCGGATAAGCTGTCTCGAGACGGCGCCCTCATGGCGACCTTCTGGCGAGTGATTGACTGGTGTTGGTGTGCGCCGGAACACCTGGCAGCAGGTGCGGAAACTGCAGCCTCGCCGCACCCGCATCGGTGACCTGCCTGGAGTTGTGTGGCGTTGCCTTGTGGTGCTAACTGCATGAAAAGGGTGGCTTTCCTGTTGCGACTTCGAGGACGCACTACCATGAACGGCGATAGGGCTGCCGGACAGCCCGTCGCGTGACTACTCGTCCACATGCATGGAAATACAGAGGACGCCACCGGGGAGGGAAACGCACAATCGACAACGAAACATGTGAATGCTCCTTGCGTCGAGGATTGTCATGGCGCAGGAATGGGCAAAAGCACAGTGTGGTGATCCACTTTTGCATGGTAATCTCTGGGGATCCGTCATGTCTCTGGCATGGCTTGGTTGCTACGGTTCAGTGTCCTGGAAAACAGTGTGGTGATGAGAGTTGTGGATACGAACATTTCATGTGGTATCCCCCTTGGCGACACACCTGGCTTCCGAGGGATTAACGCAGCCGGGGATTTGCAACGCTGTTGTCATGTGCCCAAGGCCGCTGCAGGAAGCACGAGGTCCTCCATGAGACCATGGTGAGAGTCCAGACGGTACTACTGAAGAGTGCCTTTGGGAAATGTCACATTGGCTGTCCAGAGCACCGGGTAGATCTCTTGAAACACGAAGAGGATGCAACCAACAGATGTAGTAGACGCCAAACTGGGCGCAACGTAAGTGCAGTACACAAGTACATGAATCAGCTGCCTTGCATGGTCGATGACAGCCTGCACTATCGATCCGCAGGACGTCAGGCATATCTCAGGGACACTATCGTGAATGCAGACTTTGGTTCACGGTTCTGCGGCCCTGGCAACCGAATGGAGGACCAAGCCGCTTCCGCCGACTGCTCATTTTCGGCACGCTGCCTGCCCGTTTCCAGAAAGCCGACCTGCTGCTTCCGGGCTTGGTGCAAGAATGAATAACAAGACTGCAGCCAGACTTGTTTTCCTTGGCGATATATGGCTCCATTCATTAGGCTTGAAGACTGCAATTGTCCTGCGCTGCGTCAATTCTGAAGTATTTGTCATTCCGCCTCGGAACTGAGCTGAAACGAATGAGGCCGCCCAGGCACACAAACGAAACCGAGCGGACAAGTCACCGTCTGCACCCTGACCTTTGCCGTGATCGCCGCCTGGCATTGACACAGCAATTACGCTCCAGGACAAGTGCATCTTCAGTCAGGCCAAAACACCAAAGGGTTTATATAAGCCTGCTGGCCCGAACTCCCCCACCCCACCCCACCCCCCAACCCTACCCACCCACCCACCGCGATGTCGAAATCTTTGACTTGAGAAGTTGCGCAGGCGCACCGTGAATCCTCAACACGTTTTGACCAGAATCAAATGCTTGATCGTTCAGGGTCCCCACTGTTTGTTCACCATATCGTGCAGCTTTTATCCAGTGCATGCCACGGTACGCTCCTGGATACCACGCCCCTGGGCCCCCAGCCTGCCATATGAGACACCCACCTGATGGACTATGCTAAGAGGGACTATGCAAGGGGCCCAGTGAATGTTGATGGCAACATGCCCTCTGCGTACCATTGGAAGGCAGCATGAGAACTCGTCTTCCCCAGTGTTTGGATGTGTACCTAACATTCTAGCCATGGTAGGATTTCACCTCCTCACACACCCACCACCAATAGTCCCAGCTCCATCTGCATTTCTTGACGGAGTATGTGCTGCCTTTGCGGTGTTTGTCCTTGTGTTTGTACCCTGGCTTGTGTGGGGAGTGTATGTTGAGTTCACATGGCAAGAGGACGTCATCCACCACGTGGATGACACTACTTCCGGCCAACAAGTCCGCCTCAACGATCTGCGCGGCGCACAGTGGTTCAGAATTGTCAGTCAAGGAATCCTTCCGCAAAGCATGGCAAAATGCAGTTTTCATATTTCCTCCTGAACACTGATGCTAAGCAGTTGCCAGATCCTGACAGTCTACAGCCTCACATCTTCGGTCGTGGAATCGCACCCCTGCCATCTTCAAAATACTCAAGATACACCAGCCCCACCACTTCAGAATATTGGCAAAGCAGCCATCACTCAGGAAGCAAAGTCTGGCTAAAAGAACACAGTACTGCGGCACAGGGGCCTGAAACAGCAATGGCAATTTGCGACAGACACAATTAGGCAGCATTCCATGTCTTACCTGGGCATGGTTCTGACCACCAATGAGCAACACAGTGTGCCAATGATGGTGAATGCTAAGATCTCCAACTCCACAGCTCGATTCGTCTCCCAGCGCTGTGTGCAACACACCATGATGCTCCAACTCAGAAGATCTCGCAACATATTTCAGCATGTGGTACAAGAGAACTTCCCTCGCCTGTGCTCTTGTGAGCTGTTCAGGGTGCAGCCCCAGGTGATAGAAAGCGTGGTTGTTCGGGACGAAAACCGTCAGCCCTTCTTGACTCAGTTCCTGCCCGAGACCAGCGGCCTCAATCCACTCAGCAAACGTGGTGAGTCCTCTCTCTTTGGCAACAGCGATGATGGCTGGAATTTCGGGATCAACAACACGGATGGGCCCTGCACCAGACAAAATGGTTGTCAGTGCAGACACAGCACCTAGTTGTTATTGGCGATGTGATGCTGTCCTGGTAATGCAGTCTCACAGCTACCACTCAGCCACTCGGTGCCAAGGCAATGCTGAGAGCATAGGCAGTGGCACAGCAGCTGTTCAAAAGTTGCCCCAATATTGGCATGCCTTGTCAACACAGCAAAATCAAGAAAATCACGCGGACATGCTCCAAGCGTCGAAATTGGGGAGCAACCACCTTCAGAATGCACTCCTGATACAATCCATCAATCCTCACTTCCACATTTGAGTCCTGCAGCTGGATTCCAAAAAAGCCAATGGGATACCTGCACGCCTCCGTTCACACACCTGTCTTGCGTGCCATAGGTGCCGGTGCTGGTGTTGGTGCTGGTGGCTTTGGCAGTAATGGCGATTGTCCAGTTGGCAGTGTTGTGCTTGGCTCTCCAGTGGGTGCTTGTTCTGGTGGTGAGCTTGGCTCTGTCATCATTACCCCTGGTCTGATTTGTCCTGGAGGCATTGGCTTGGGTGAACTTGGCTCTGGTGGCATTGGCATGGGTCCTATAGACACTGGTGCTACAGGATCTGGCACTGCCTTGGGAGGTGTTGCTGGTGCTGGCAAAGGCACTGGTGGTAGTGGCCGTGGTTGCAATGGGCATGGTAGTAGCACATCGTCGATGACATGAACAACAGCTGTGCAGGTTTGGATGTCAGGATTGAGGACCGCTGCCATCGATGCACCTCCCTTGATCACAATAGGTTGGCCAACCTGCACATCCACAGTGCTGACGTCGCAAAGGCTGCCCTCTCCTAGTGTCATTTTCTCACCACCATCGCCAAATTTCTCCACAG